CTACTGTTTGATCCTTGTTGCTCTGCATTCCTGTGTATTACAACCCAATAAAAGGCTATGGAGAAAGGTGCTCCGGGCCTTTTTCTCCTAGGAGAAACTGGCCGCTGCTGGCCTTTGTCTCCCCTGAGAAACTGGCCACAGCCCACTCCTCCTCCCCAAACAGATCTCATCTTGTCTCGGCCACATATTTTTCACTCACACGTGTCCGTGGCACCGGGGGGACTCGAGAAAGAAGTCGCCCCCACAGGTTCATAAGTGAAAAGAAAAAGGAAAAATTGCCCAGCAGGTCATGCTACCAGACCTGAATTTACCTTTAGGCTTCTCACAGAAACTCGGGTTTGAACTGAGTGTGTCCATTTGTCTGTGGATTTCTTTAAGTACACAGTCGGTGCTTTACCCCCAGGTTTTGCATTTGTGGGTTCAGTCAACTGAGGAACAAAAACGATATTTTCTGTCTGTGGTTTGAATCTGCAGATGAGGAGGGCTGGCCGTATGCTCTGTTCTACACCATTTCATATAAGGGACTTTGTCCACTGGGGGACCCTGGAAGCAATCCCCTGTGCATACCAAGGGATGATGGTGGTTAAGCTTTTGGGGAGTCAAAAGTGATACTCAAATTTTCAACTATGTGGGAGTGTTGGTGCCTCTAACACCTACGTTGTTCAAGGATCAACTGTATCACTAATGCATGCAAACAGTCCATCAGATGAATGTACCAAGATTGATTTATCTGGTACAAGATTTATTTATATTTTGAAAATATTTTTGTATTTATCTGCTACTTCCAATTTTTATATTATGAACAATGGTATGATCATCTTCTAATGCACATTTTATAATTTGTCTGGTCATCTCTTGAGAATATGGTGGATTTGGATAGACTGGTAAAATGTGAGCATATGTGTTTAAGGTTCTTAAAAATCTGTAATGCTGAACTGTCAGCCAGCGAGGTTTTAATTAGTTTCTAATCCCAAGAAGAGAATGCCCATGTGTCACTTGCTCACACTCATGCCAGCACTGGAAATTAGCAAGCCTTTTCATCTTTGCTGGATCAGGTGATCCAACAAGACAATAGTGTCACATTTCTGTTTGATTGGAAATTCTGTTTGAAGGTGAACTTTCCTCCCCTAGGGCGCTGCTTTCTGGAGACGGGTCTCTGTCCTGCAGGGGGGCCCATTTGTGAGAAGTTGGGGCCTATCATTGTTGTCCTCTTTCTGCTGCCCTACACCTCACACAGAGGGCCACAGGCCGAGGAGATGGATGGGCTCCTGTGTTGGTGCCACATGGGGACAGTGCAATGAAAAGTGGCTGCAGGAGAAAAGAGGGACTTGCTATCATCTCTCATTATACACAGTGAAGAATGGGAAATCATTCCAGGGAATCAGAAAACTTAACTAGAAAATGAAACTGAGAGGGTATCCTATCAGAAATGGACAAGGTCACAATTTATACAGTAAAGAGACAGAGGGGCAGAAACACAGATGCAGAGCAGGATGGAGGCTGATGCGGAGGCAGAAGAGCTGAGGAAAAAGTGTCATTCACCCAGACAGTGAGCAGCATTATCTGGGATGGTTTACTCATCCCGCTAACCCTCAGCTTCCTGTTTTGTAAAATGGGGATAAGAGAATTAATACATCATTGAATGTTGAGGGAATTAAGTAAGAATTGTGTAAGCTTTTGTCCTAATATATTTAAAGACTCGGTAAAAACTGCATCCATCTTGTGGTGAAAGGAGCTCCTGTTCTCTGAAAGATCATCTAGATGGTCGGCTCTTTCCACAGTGCAGTGCTTCCATTGCAGGCTGTGAAGATCAGTTCCAAGCTGGCCACCTTCCCCTCCCCCTTAGTGCCTCATCTTGATAACCTTTGTAGCCACCCTGTGATGTTCCAAAGAATGGTCTGTTTCCAAGTAGTCCTTTAGCCCTATGCATGTAACCGTCAACTCCTCTCTAACAAAGAAGCCAATGACGCACAATAGGAAAAAAAACTGGATGTTCACATCTAAAAGAAGGAAAGAAGATCCTCATCTTGAATCAACTGTGGACATTATTTTTTCTCACTACTAAAAACATTTATTCCAAAAAGCAAAAAAAAAAAAAAAAAGAATGAAATTCCAATACGCATTTTTGTTCTTTCACTATCCTTTTGTTAAACAAAATTGCCAAAAATTCACAGATTTGGCAGAATGTATGTTTAGACATTTTATCATGACAGAGAAATAGCAAATACACATCTGAGAAAAGGCTCACCATTAATCTTTAGAAAAATCCAATCAAATAACAGTGAGATAGCTTGACAAAGTTATAAAAAAATTTAAATAAAGAATGAGTGGGGAGAAAAAAAAGCCGTGGTTGGTGTGGCTCATTGGATTGAGTACCAGCTTGCAAACTGAAAGGTCACCAGTTTGATCCCCAGTCAGTGCGCATGGCTGGGTTGCGGGCGAGAACCCGGATGGGGGTGTGCTAGAGGCAACCATCCAAGTTTCTCTCACACACTGATGATTTTTTTCTCTCCCTTTCCTTCCCTTCCACTCTAATAAAAAAAAAAAATCTTAAAAAAAAAAGATTGATCAAACCAAATATTCCCTAGAATGTGGAAGAGTTGAATCCCTCATATACTGCTGGAAGAATGCAAAAAGATACAACTGGTTTAAGTCACAACTTCCTAATTTCTTTTTAAAATCAAATTTAAAAATTTAAATTATATTTTATTGATTATGCTATTTCAGTTGTCCTGATTTTTCCCCCCTTTGCCCTTCTCCACCCAGTACTCCACACTCCCTCAGACAATCCTCGCACCCTTGTTCATGCCCATGGGTCATGTGTACAGGTTCTTTGGTCACTCCCTTTCCTATACTGTACTTTACATCCCCACGGCTATTCTGTAACTACCTATTTGTACTTCTTAATCCCTTCACCTCTCACTCATTCTCCCACACCCACCCTCCCGTGTCTTTATAATTAACCTTTGGCATTTTAATTATGTTATGTCTTGGGGTGGGCCTCTTTATGTCCATCTCTTTTGGGACTCTGTGCTTCCTGGACTTACATATCTATTTCCTTCACCAATTTAGGGATGTTTGCTTTCATTATTTTTTCAAATAGATTTCCAATTTCTTGCTTTTTCTTCTTCTGGCACTCCTACAAGCGAATGTTGGATTGCTTATTGTCCCACAGGCTTACACTATCCTCATTTATTTGAATTCTATTTTCTTCTTGTTCTGAGTGGTTGACTGCTTCCTTACATTCCAAATCATTGATGTGATTCTTGGCTTCATTCACTCTACTATTTTCCTGTAAATTGTTTATTTAAATTAGTGTATTTTTCGTTTCTGACTGGATCTTTTTAATGCTGCTTAAGTCCTAAGTTCCTTGAGCCTCCTTATAACCAGTGTTTTGAACTCTGCATTCAATAGATTGCTGATCTCCATTTAATTTAGTTTTACTTGAGTTTTTAATCTGCTCTTTCATTTGTGCCATGTTTCTCTGTCTCCTTGTTTCGTCAGCCTCCCTGGGTTTGTTTCTATGTATTGAGGTAAACAGCTTTGACTCCACTGTCTTGGTAGTATAGCTTAAAGTAGTAGGTGTCCCGTAGGGCCCAGTGGCACAGCCTCCCCTATCACGCAAGCTGGGTACTCCAGGTGCACCCTCCGTGTGGGCTGAGAACACCCAACTCCTGTAGTTGAGCCTTGGTTGCTGTTGGCAGATCATTGGGAGGGACTTACCCAGTCCAGTCAGCTGCAATGATTGGCTGTGACTGCTTACCACCAACCTCCACCTTCTGTGGAGAATCAGTATTCAGGGGCAGGGTGGTGGTGCTCCCATGTGGTCTGTAGCTGTCCACTGGGTGCACTGGACCCTGGGGTGGTGCAGGCCAAGGTCAGCCCTGACCTGTTTTGTCTGGGGCCACCTTGCCTGAAGTTATAAAGCAATCTGAGATGGCTGCTAGTTCCTGGCCTGGGGCTCACTGAAGCCAGCTATTGTTTGAGAGGATTTAGGAAGTTGTGAAGCATGAGCCAAGACCATTCATATGGTCTTGAGTTTCTCTGATCATATGAAAAGCAGTTTGGGTTGGTCTGTAAATTGGGTAGGGTGGAGTTTCTGGGGATCCCCAAGGTGGGTCAGTGTTAGTCAGGTTGACAGACTCTTAGAAATGGTGAGTCTGCCAGCTCTGTGGGGGTGGGACTAGAAAAGGCACAATGGCCTCTGCTCACCTTGATGCCAGATACCTCCATCTCCCCCTGCACACTACTGGTACCCCTCAAACCACCATCCCATTCTCAAAGCTCAGAGGGAGTGACTCTGAATATGTGAGTTTTGTGTGGGTTAAGAGGAACTTGCTTGGGGCTCCAAAAGTTTCTTCCATCAACTCAATCCCTGCTGGTGTTTGCAGCTGGAAGTTTTGGGGACTTATCTTCCTGGCACTGGAACCCTGTGCTGGGGATCCTGGTATGGGGTTGGGGCCCCTTGCTCCCAAGGTATGTCTCCTGAATTTTTATCTACCGCATGTGTATGTGGGACCATCCTGTTCTGCATCTGCACCCCTACAGCCTGGATGGATGTGGTTTGGTTAATTCTTTAGTTGTCAGCCTTGTATTCAATTCCATTTCTGTTGGTTCTGAGTGATGGCTGTCCTATATTTTAGTTCTAATTTTGTTGTGGTTGTGCAAAGAGGCGAGCCTTGTCTGCCTACGCCACCATCTTGACTGGAAGACTCTCTCCCTAATTTCTTTAGGTTAAACATTCACCTACCCTCTGACTTGGAAACTATTACGAGTTATTTGACAAAGATAAGTGAAACATATATCCACAGAGAATTATATGCAAATGTTTGTCCCAGCTTTATTTTCAATAATCAAAATTTAGAAATAACCCAATGTCTATGCACAAATGAATGAATAAACAAACGCGATGTATTTAAAGCTAGGAGTAATTCTCAGTGAAAAAAAGATGAACTACAAGTATATCATTAATGAATCTCCAAGTATTTATGCAACATAAATGAAGGCAGAAAAAATACATTTATTCACATCACATAAATTCTAGGAAATGCAAAGTTATCTATTAAAATAAGAAGTAAATCAATGGTTACTTGGAGAGCTGTGAAGGACAAGGAGATTAGAAAAGGATGTAAGGTAAAAAGACAGTGACAGATATGGTCAGTACTGACTGTGGTGATGGTTTCAGTTTAATGCGTCAAAATTCATCAGATACTATACTTGAAATATGCTGTTTACTACCGAAAAGTTTTGAAAAATGGTTCAACATAAAATAAAACATGTATGTCCAACAGTCTTTGGAAAATAGGTTTGGCAACCTACTCATGCCCTCTAAGGATCAGCCTTGCCTCAGTGACATCAAATATACCAAACAATGAAGGACTTTCACCCAAATCAATAGCAACACTGGCTGGATCACAAAAGCCACATCCTTGGACTACAGGTATCAATTTTCTTTATCTTTGATTTCCTGCTTGGGCAACAATGGTTTTCAAGTGAACACCTCAGAGGGTACACAAGTCCAAAAAACCTTTTGATTATTTTCAATGACAATGACTTTGGCCACAGAAGATAAACATCACTGGAGATCCTCAGATCTGTGTACACAATGATCCTGCAGTCTTTTCACAGAAATAATTCTGGATTCATGTCTAGAAGAGGTGCATTACACCTAGCTGGCTGCAGTCTTCTCCAGTCATTATTTGGTATCAGTCATGGTTTCCCCTAGCCCCTATGGTCCTATAACCAAGTGACCATCACCCATGGAAATGTAGATATTAGGACCCATGGCCCTTTGCAAGATCTTCAAAAGTACCTTGTGAACAAGGGAAAAATTCATCTGCTGTCAGAAGCACTTGAGGGTTGTCACACTGGCCCCCTCTTGAAAGTTATTTGAGTCTCCTAAAACTCATAGCATCCAGGCTTCACACGTGTACCAGAGAGCCCTGCAGTCTTTTCTAGGAACATGTGGGCAGCAATGTAAATTTCACAAAAACTGGTGAGCTAATCTTGGCACCATAGTGGATCCTTGAATGCAGAGAAAGTTTGAGACCCCCATAAAGTTCTTTACCTCTTCATGCTGTAGAGCCCAAGTCTGCTGATAACTTACTCCACATAGTAAATAAAACATCCAAGGTTAAAGAAGACTTAAACAAAAAGGCCTTCATTATTTTACAAAGCAAAGGGAAGGGATCTGGCAGTTCTTGCATTGGTAACTTTGACACTGGAAATATTCACCACAGGTATCTAAGAAAACCATGCCCCTGAAAAGGCAGTCCTTCTGCAAGCCATCAGCTCAGCTCAGATAGTAATATGTTCTCTGGGGGGTCAACAGTGGATCAGGCCCATGCCCCAACTACTCAGAGTGAAGGAAATGCAGATCTCATAGGGCTCAGGCTACTCCTAACTTCCTCCAACAAATCAGAGAACAAAGTCAGCTTTCTTGAGCACATTAGGATGGTGACTGATGCAAACTAAGGAGACCTGCCAGGTGGTACAGCTGAAATAGCTTCAGCCATATAACTTCATAGTGACATAAATCTGGCAAGAGCCCTAAACAGGTTAGAAAGTACAATCCAGGCACACATACTTCCCACATTAACTAAAACTTATGGAAAGTCTCTCACTGTTGACAGTTCAATGTATGAGATTACATTTAGGAAAATGGAGCCTCAGAGTTTCCTTCAGTGTTAACACCAAACATAAAATCTGTACATTTCCTACACATCTAGGAACTTCTTCCCATGTGAATTCTCATGTGCTTAGAGAGCTTAGAATTTTGGCTAAAAGATTTTCCACATTCACTGCACTCATAAGGACTTTCTCCAGTGTGAAATCTCTCATGACACCGAAGTTCAGAGTTGCTGATGAAAGATTTCCCACAGTCATTGCACTCATAAGGCCTTTCTCTAGTGTGAATCTTCTGATGACAACGCAAATGAATGTTCCTGACAAAAGCTTTCCCACATTCAGTGCACTTATAAGGCCTTTCTCCTGTGTGAAATCTCTTATGATAACGGAGGCCACTGCTACAGGCGAAAGATTTCCCACATATATTGCAGTCATAAGGCTTTTCTCCAGTGTGAAATCTCTGATGGTAACGGAGGCCAGAACTACTGATAAAAGATTTCCCGCATTCACTGCACTCGTAAGGCCTTTCTCCAGTGTGAAATCTCTGATGACAACGAAGGTCAGAGTTCCTGATAAAAGCTTTTCCACATTCACCGCACTCATAAGGCATTTCTCTAGTGTGAATTCTCTGATGACAACGCAAATGATGGTTCCTGATAAAAGTTTTTCCACATTCACTGCACTCATAAGGCCTTTCTCCAGTGTGAACTCTCTGATGACAATAAAGGCTAGAGATTCTGGTAAAATATTTTCCACATTCATTGCACTTATATGGCTTTTCTCCAGTGTGAACTCTCTGGTGTTGAATGAGGCTGGTACTTTGGCTAAAGGATTTCCCACATTCGCCACACTTGTAAGGTTTTTCTCCAGAATGAACTCGACAGTGTTGAATAAGGCCACAGCGATCTTTAAAGCATTTCCCACATTCATTGCACTTATATGGCTTTTCCCCTGTGTGAACTTTCTGATGATAACGAAGGCCAGAGAGTCTTGTAAAACATTTTTCACATTCATGGCACATAAAACACTGTCTTCCAGCAAGGACAGCTTGATCTGGAGCAAGTGTGTGGTTGCAGCCCACGGCTTTCTTACATTCTTTCCTGGTGTAATCATTGATTTTCCTTTGAAAACTCACTCCAGACATCAACATTTCATTTGGCTTGTCCCTGGTGTACGTAGCCTGTTCTTGGATATGATCTGAGCTGGAAAGGATTTCCTGTCCAACCTCCCCACAGGTAAAAAGCTTCTGGGACACACTGAAATTGCAGGCTTTTGCAAGTGAGACCCTGTCCACACCTCTTAGGAAAGGTTTCTCTCTCATGTTCTGGTCCTGGTGACACTTGGCACTGAAATAAAACTGTTTTGCACATGCGCCACACCTCAACAGTTTCTGGCTGTGCTGTGCTCCCTGCTCCTCAACCAGGTGGAAAATGTCTTTCAAGACTGGCGCACAACGCTCACAGGGGTGGCTTTTCTGGGAAGACAAAGCTACATCAGGATTCTCTGTCTGTGACGCTCTTACAGAAACATTCTCTTCATTGGGTGTCGCAGCATCCTCTGCTCCACAGCAGCAACCCAAAGAGGATATAAGTGCAAAATTCTCCCGCATCACTTCAAGGTATAGTTGTTTCTGAGCCTCATTAAGGAGGCGCCATTCCATTCTGGAGAAGAACACGGCAACATCCGCAAAGGTCACATTAATCTCAGCTGAGGGCCCAAGAGTGGCCACTGCCATCACATTCTGTGGGCAGAGAGGGGCAGGAGTGGGGATCGAGGAGGCGGCCCCAACATTGGTCCCTGTCCTGGCCCTGGCACAGGTCATCTGGGTGATATTATCATGTTGCCGAGCCTCAGATCTACATCTGTTTGGCTGGATACCAGGACTCTGGCACCTTCTCATCGTTCTGGCACGACCCAGCACTCAGGATGCTCCAAACCAGTTAGGTGATACCGAGAGAAGAGAAAATGCCTGCCAGAGAACACCAGGAGTCAACTGTTGACTTTAAAAAGGATAAACAACTGCACTGCAAAGCTTTCTGTAAGAACCTCAAAGAATTCTCATGAACATATGTAGCTTTAAAAAAGTCCAGCTCATCTACATCCTAAGTATACTCGTTGCCAGGGTTTTGAAGTAATTTGGATGAAATAAACAAACTTGTGTGTTCAGCCACAGAAATACAGAATTGAAGTATCTGATTTCAGATGAAAAACTGTAAAGAGAAGATGGACCTTCTCATGGAAATAATTAAAATAATTGAGGGCAATATGTTTTTTTTAGGACAAAATTATTTAAAAATGGAAGATAAGTAGTGATAACAACAATAGATCTGTAACATTAAAAAAGGACTGACTAGTCTTGCCTGGTGTGGCTCAGTGGATTGAGTGCTGACCTGCAAACCAAAGGGTCACTGGTTCCATTTCTAATCAGAGCACACACCTGAGTTGCAGGACAGGCCCCCCGCCAGTGGGGGGGTGCACAAGAGGCAACCACACACTGATGTTTCTTTCCCTCTCTTTCTCCCTCCCTTCCCCTCTGTAAAAATAAATAAATCTAAAATAAACAAATAAATTAAAAAGTACTGATTATAAGAAAAAACTATCAATAAAAATTAAAATTAAGCACATTCAAGGTTAGCTAAAAAAAGAAAAACCTGAGACAATAAGGAGTTAAACAGTGATCAGAACTGGCAGTAAAGTTAAGTCACATCTGCCCTGAAAGGCCTTCCCTACAAGCCTGGCAGACATCAGAAAGGCCTATGGAGCCACATGTTCCCATTTCCTTTAGCTCTTAGTGCCACATCTGTCAGCTGTCACAGCACAGGCACACTTTAACAAGACCTTCCCTAGGCTCAGAAAGTGAAGAACACATGGAACCATGGCATTAGAAATACTGTCTTAAAGTACAGTACTGTTTACTATCTGACTACATGAAATCCTGTCATATGTAGGCAAGATATGGGTCTGAGGAAATTCTTGCTCTAGATATTTCCTGTTTCTAGAGAGTCATATATGAAGCAATACTTATTTATGAGTTATTTTCTCATATACTCTACCACATTTATTGTCAACAGCCCAGAGTTTCCTAAATGGGAAGGGAAAGAACTTATACATGCATTAGTTCAGAGACTACTAACCTCACTGTAAGAGGGTAACTGACTCGTCCAGTTCACCTGGGACCATTCAGGCATTCAAGTCTGCCTCCTGGGAGACTTTTCGGTTCTGGGCAATGGGGGACAATTGTCATTCTAGCTGCAGAGTACAGCACTGTGAAGTCCAGGGAAAGTGACTGGATAAACTGCAAGGGAAAAAAAATAGGGTTCAAGCAATCACTCAGTCCAGGCTCCTATGAGATGGTAATTTCCATTAAACTAGGCTGTGACATCATAGAAATCCGAGAACAATGACAAGAGCCAAGCTAGGGGGAACCTAGCTTCAGGCAGGGGAAACCTAGGCTTTGTCATGCCCAAGATGTTATTTTCTCAGGAGGGAGTTCACCCATCAGACAGGTAGGTGGGAGAGAGCATGTAAAGTAACACATAGGGGCTACAGTTACTTATTTCTCTACTCAGGCCTGGTCCTTTTCTGAGGCTATGATATGAACTATGATTTAGAATTCACCTGAAAAGTGTCTCATGAATCTTCCTAGGGAAAAAGAGCAGCTGGAGGTCAGGAAGCTGAGAGGAAGCAGAGAAAAAAGTTAATCTGAATATTCCCTGTAAATTTGATTTATTCTCTGCACAAAATGATAGTACTTAATATGGAAAACAAAACTTTGGAAATTTAATTTGGAAATAAAATTAATGGATTGGTATACCAGTATACCCATTGATACATCCAATGGGGGCCGCACAGGAGCAGACATCAGAAACGACTCCTCGCCCCAGCCAGCATGGCTCAGTTGGTTGGGCATCGTCCTGCAAAGCTGAAGGTTGCTGGTTCTGTTCCCAGTGAGGGCATAGGCTTGGGTAGTGGGCCTGGTTCCCATTGGGGGTATGTGTGTTATAGGCCACCAATTGTTTCTCTCCCTTTTTCTCTCCCCCTTACTCTCTCTCTAAATAAAAATAAAAAGTAATAAAAAAAGAAACCATTCTTCATGCCCTTGTGTTCTGATGAAGTATTCATTTTTAGGACACTGGGCAGTATAAGAGAAAATTCAGGTCTTTAAGGAGGTATAAAGGCTCATAGAGTGTGAAGGGGCTCGTAGAATGATGATAATGATGGATGGCACAGGCTCCTGGCGACAAAAATCCCCTCCTTTCCCATACCCTCACTCCACCCCATGTTCCTGAGTGCTTACTCTGGTAGAAAAGGAATCCCTGACTGGACAGTATGAACCTCGCTCCTCCCCACCCTCTGTTCTTTTCCCTTTCTGTCCCGGGCTCTGTCTTCTCTGGTTCAGGGGCTTCATAGCATTAGTAACACAGGGCAGTAAGGTTTGTTCCACCAGGAGCCTAGGAATTTCCTAAAAAGAGCTGAAGGTTCCGGGAATGACTGGAGGAGTCACTCCAGCATGCAAACTCCCATAATGAACAGGGTTCTCTAATTTGATCAAGAGGAGACAACTTGACGCCTCTTGTGAAAAACGCAGGGGAGATGGCAACAGGGAGACATTAGAGGACGTTAGCTTTTGTGGTCTGACCTAGAAAAAAGCCCGTCAACTTGCTTTTAGGATCTTGGGAAAGCCATTTGCCTCCTGTCTCTGTCTCCTGATCCTCCAGACTGCTCAGTGGTCCTTAGATGCCTCTACTCTGTCCTGCCTCCTTGCCACCTAACCTTGGGGCTACCTGACATTCAATGACCATAAAGAATCACTTCAGTCACATCCGGATTCATATCACCTGGGGAAAAGTGGCCTCCCCCAGCCAAAGGCACATTTCAACTTATTAAGCTTCACAACAGACTAAAATCTGACACAGAAAATAATGGGCAAGAGGACTGAGACACCTATGAACTGCCACATGTGTGAAATGTGCCATGCGCTCCCAGGAAAGCAGTGCTGGGGACCTTGGAGCTCTGTGGAGTGCACTGCCTTTGGCGAGGAGGGGGTTTTTCACGGCTCTTGTGAAAACTCTACCAGTCTCTAAAGTTAACCCGCACATCTTCTGGGCCCCTCCCTCTTAGCTTCACTGTGGGGTACTGGTAACTCACTGACCCAGAACATACATAGCCCCTGAACTCTGGTTTTAGGGTGTTAGGGTTCACTAGCTTTCACTTCAGAGGTAAGCTTATTTTATTTTTTAAAGATTTTATTAATTTATCTTTAGAGGGGAAGGGAAGTAGAGAGGGAGAGAAACATCAATGTATGGTTGCCTTTTGTGTAGTCCCCTGCTGGGAATTGGCCTGCAGGGAACTGGCCTGCAACCCAGGAATGTGCCCTGGCCTGCAACCCAGGAATGTGCCCTGACCGGGAATCGAACCGCGATCGTCTGGTTCGCAGGCCCGTGCTCAATCCACTGAGCTACACCAGCCAGGGCTCAGAGGTAAGCTTATTGAACATGTGAAAATATGCCGGATTTGTCTGTTCAGGAACTACATTGTCTCCTAGAGTGGAAACAGGGCAGTTTCCCTATCAGATAAAAAAATGGAAAGGATGGGGTGGGGGGCAGGGGGAACATACAGTCTAATAAGAAACAGGAGGAAAAGTGATAGTGGGCAAACTGAAGGGGAAGTGAAGGTGTGGGCAATGAGGGTGGAACGACAGAGAGGATCTGAGTGTTCTAGGGTGAGAATTGGGCTTTTAAAAAGGCAGAAAGAAAAGGAGAAACAGAAGATGGTAGTTGTCCCACCCCCAAATAACTTCTCCCCACACTCACCAAACCGAAGGGCCTTTCCCTTCACTTGCTCCCCAGTTTCCTCTGGGCCATCTTCCTCTGAGGCTGAGGGCCTTGTCCTAGGCCTTCACCACGTCACCCCAGGGGATCTGTGAGGACCTCTACACAGATGAGGGTCTCTTACAGGAGAAACCTGAATTTTTTTCCTCCTTTGTCAGCTTCTCTAGCTTCTGCAACATCAGCTTGTGCAGACACTTGGCCTTGTCTTTCTGAGGTTGACTTTAGTTGCTAGAGTACAGATGGAACAGAGGAAAGAGTAGAATGATTTAATAGAGAAGTCGCCCTCTCTGTGGTCAGAGAAATGGCTCCCTGAATCAGCTCTGAGACCTCCTTCTTCTCTCTGTGCCTGCCCTCTGCCACTTTCCTTATCTCACCTGCATTACGAGAACAGCCTCCTGACTGGTCTCCCCGAACACCATTCTTGTCCCACCAATGAATTCTAGAGTTAGAATTCCGAAACCTACATCTAATCATGTCACTTCACTTCTCAAAATCATTTAGTATTTCATGAAGTCCTACCTCCTCAGCAAAGTTTAGTAGGCTCTGATGACCTCCCCTCAGCTTACTCGCCCAGCCTCAATGCCCCATAACCTTCCTTTCATGTTTCCATCCCTCCAAACCACCAAACAGGCCTAGTAACAGGCCCTTTTTCACCTCTTGTCTGAAATTTCCACAAGGAAATTCCACCTTCTCAGGCCCTGATCTCTGACCTCCAATTCCCCAGCAATGTAAGACTATTTAAGTCTTTGTACAACTTTTTACCTTCACAGCTGTTGCTTTCAGCTTGGGGCCAGGAATCTTGCCCAGGACAGGCACAGCTTAGGAAATGACAAGCACCTCAAGAGGAAACTGCACAATAAATTTCGGGCTGATTTCTCTAAGGTTCCCTCTTCCATTTCAAGTCTTAGACTTCACTGCATCTCTGAATTCCAACTTCCTTCTTCCCAGCCCAACTGCCGCATGACTTGGCCACCACCTCTTTCAGCTTGGTCTCTATTCCTCCCTCTAAGACTCAGCCAATGTTCTGAGGGAAAAAACACAGGCAAAGTGGGGTTAGGCTAGATGCTCCCACATTCTCTCCAGCAATTTTCTCCAAGTCCTGTCTGACTTGATTTTTCCCAAATACCTTCAGTTAGTTGTTCAGCTTTTAAAAAGGAGGATAGGAGGATAGGATATCACACTTACTACGGATAGGAGGATCGGTGTGATAGAAGCTACTCCATCGTTCTCAGATATGGAGGTTGTATGTACTTTATTCTTGTCACAAAATCCTAAAGAGGCTCCAAGGTACTGACTGGTTTAGTTTTCATTCTTTGTCACTTGGAGAGCCAAACCAGATTTCTAAGTGGTCTCTTACCCTTACTCATCACCTAGTTAGTAAGTTAGCATGGTTGGAAGGGGGAAGTCTGAAGGCAGAGACCTCAAAATACAACAATTTAAAGATCAAAAAGACTATCTGAATGGATCTAAACCCATCTAACATATAAAAGCCATCAGTTTGAGTTTGAGAAAGTTACTTACCTTTGGAAATTCTAAGGGACTAATTCATTTTTCTGAAAGCGGGTAATAGGAGATCATTAAGCATGCCTCTCTTCTATAAACTGTATTCCCAGTGCCAAATCTAAACTTCCCAAGCTTCACTGTAAGCGGGACACGGGTGCCCACAGACTGCTATTAGCCAAATCCCATAATCTCATTTGGGTCTTAGCATTCCTCAACGTGAGATAGGAGACCTTATCGATCACCTTGTTGTCCAGAATGGAAGAACACCGTTCTAATGGAGAAATACAAATAAATAATGATCTATTCCTAGAACCTAAAGCCCAGAAAAAAGTATAATAAACTCTCTACTAAGTTCTATTCACAGAACCCAGGGTGAAGAAAGAAGATACGAAACGCAGGCATCTTGTATTCAACTGCCCCATACAGAAAGAAAAATAGCGAACACCTCTGCTGAGCAAAACTTCGCTGAAACCAATCACTGGGTGACAAAGACAAAGAATCTTTTTCTTCCTTAAACCCTATGGGCTAACAGAAACTCCAATACCAGTAGAACCCCGGCAAGCCTTTAAAACCTTTTTCTCTCAACTCCGCAAGACTCTCTGGTTCTGACAGTTTCCGCCCTCTGCAGAGATGAAATAAATCTTACTTTCATTGTCAGTGTCCCAGAACGAAATTCTTTCATCTCAGGACACAAGAACCCAAGTGGTTCCGGTCAGATTCGGCATCAAAGGCATCTCAGCGTCATTTAACCCAGGGTACCGCTCCACTCTACCGAGACTCTCTTCCCTCAGTCTTCAGAATACTTTTTTTCTCCCGTCCTCTATTTCTCCACCCGCTTACCCCCCAGTCTCCAACGCTGGTCTGGGATACTGCCTCCCTCAGCCCCGCCGGCCTCACCTGCCACATTTCAAGTTTGCATTTCCCTTGGCGTCCGGAAAGGAGGAGAGGCAACCGGAGCGGGGGTGGGGGTGGGAGCGAGCCTGGACCGAGTCGAAAGCGCTCCCAGGCTCTCCCCCGCAGCCCTAAACTTCTGTGGCGTCCACAACCACCTCTCAGAGTGCGAAGCATACAACCCTGAAGAAAATGAGAAGAGGACTGGTAGGTCCAGCGCACACCTGGTCGGCGCGCGGCTCCTCACCTGGCAGGGGAAAGGGTGGCAACCGGAAGCTTCCTCCGATCCGTCCTCGTGGGCGGGGCTACCTCGTCCGGTTTTGTTACTGGCTAAAGCGGACCGGGTACTCTAAATTGATTTAGGCGCTCAATGAGAACCTGGGTGACGTTAGGACCCGGAACTGAAGCCCAGTCGTGGGTCACGTCCTCGTGGGCGGTGCTACCCGCTCCTGCCAGGTTAAAGGCGAAGTCACGCCCTGGGGTCTGCTCCGTTGGTGGGAGGTGCAGTTGAGGTGCAGTTGAGGGTTGTTCTTGCGCTAGAGGTTCCTCAGCGTGGGTCCTCTCAAGTGATCACAGGAATAATGACATGATCCTCAGCCCTAGGCCACCCTTTAATGAAACAGTGTGCGTGTCTTAGAGGGGTAATAGTGTAGGGATTGGGTAAATAAAACGTTGCATCTGTCCCATGCACACTATAAGGGAGTTGTAATGAGTGAAGAAGGGAGATCTTGGTTGCTTGAACTCCTGATGGCAGAACTGGTGTGTATGGGAGTGTGAGGGTGTGTGGCCAGGGCCCCACCCTCAAAGAGGGATTTGTAATGGGGCCCAGAACTCAGCGTGTCCAGGAATTATAAAATATAGGATATCCTCACCCCCACAAGCCTGAACTGGGGGATGGGCCATTGAGTTATTTTATATCTCAACAGTTGGCCAGCTTCATACCCAATATGCAAGAATGGTTGTTTTTTAAAAAGATTTTATTTATTTATCTCTAGAGGGGAAGGGAAGGAGAGGAGAGAGGGAGAGAAATATCAATGTATGGTTGCCTCTTGCGTCCTCTGCTGGGAACTGGCCTGTGCCCTGATTGGGGATCTAACTGCGGTTGTTTGGTTCATAGGCCTGTGCTGAATCCACTGAGCTACACCAGCCAGGGCAAGAATTGGTTATTTAACAGACCTGTTACAGCAGGTTAGTTTCAGAGATATGTTAAGTAGTTGTGGCCATGTTTTGAGCCAGGGAGATGGGCCTGACTTTGACACATGACTAAATTAGGAGGCAGCTTCCCCTAGTGATAGAACCTGTGCAGAAAAGATGGAAAAATACAGGAATGTGGGCAGGTGTGGCCAATTGTGGGAGGAGTTGGAAATGGGGCTGCAGAGAAAGATTAGCTCTGGGATTCAAAATCTGATTCTATAGCCTTGTGGTTTGGGGGCTCCCTTAACCATGTAGCTTAGGAAGCAGAAAAGCAAGATGTAGCAGTCATGCAGCGCTTTCTCTTACCAGTTAGGAAGAATGCAGGAGAGATGTTTTGGGAAGGAAAGGGGTGAAAGGGCTCTTGCTGGAGGGCCATGAGAAGGTGCCCCTTGGGTTTGGATTAAGAACTGGAGATTGAGGCGACATAGCTGATGGTGCTGGGAACTGCTGGGGGCTGGCTCAGTCACAGACTCTGATTTTTCCTTCTGAAATATGGTGCCCCTGACTGGGCAAAGGGGGAAGGAAGGACTGTGTGTGTCTGTGGGTGTTTTAAGGGACTTCATGATTTTAACGAAGACATTAGGTCATTACTCTAAGTCTATAAATTTTGAATAAGTAGTTCTCCTTTTCACCAGACTCTGGCATTGAGAACCATAATTCCTAAGGGCAGTGGGCAAGATGAATCTAGTACAGGGGGACCCCAGGAGAGTGTGTGGGGGTCTGTTTGGTAACAGTATCTTCAACTGCCCCGCCCCTATGGGTCTGTTCTGTAACAGGGGTGCTTTCTGATTGCTATTAGTGCCCGGGCTTAAGATCTGAACAAGGAAGGAAGGCAGGCAAAGTTAATTTTGGTAGCCTTGGGCCTCCATGGACCTAAGAAGCCAAGGTGGAATCTAGGAGACCAGGGAACTGAAAGGCTTTCTTCAGGTGCATCTGAACAGCCCTGCTGCTTATTTTGTTCTTCACCACCATGCTTTGCAGAATAGAGACCACTTTGCCTTCCACTATCTCTGGGACTGCTCCCATTTGGGGTCACCAAACAATCAGACCTGAGCTGGGTATACAAACTCCATGTCAGTGGCCCAGCAGCCAGAGATGATTAGTCAGAACAATGTGAACATTCAGTGACATATAGGTACTAGGGGTGAAAGAAGATAATTAAGGTAAAAGGTAATTCCAGTAAAGAAATTCAAGGAGGGAGAGGGAAAAAACACTTTCTGAGGCCATGACATGATTTCTCTCAAAAATAATTAAATGGATGAACGGAAGGAAGAGGTGGTCTTCCTTGAGATCCAAAACAGATTTGAAAAATAAAACAAGCAGCAAAAATATAAATAGGAATCAAGAATAACAAATTGTAAATACCTAGAATTCTAGAACAAGGTGTCAAACTCATTTTCACTGGGGACCACATCAGGCTCATGGTTGCCTTCAAAGGGCTGAAATAATTTTAGGACTGTATAAATATCATTACTCCTTAACTATTAAGGAGTTGAAATTGCAATCAGCCCTTTGAAGGCATGTGGCCCCCAGTGAAAATGAGTTTGACACCCCCGTCCTAGATGGTATAGAAGACATTAATGGATGAGAAACAACAATTAAACAAGTAGATTATTTCTTGAGCTGTAATAAAAGGCTCACTGTATTTCAGGCTGGACCAAAAATACAAAGTGTGAAGGAAAATCCTTTTCCTTCTGATATCCTTTTATATATGTTCTTCATATACATATCTTATGTTTTCCCTTGTTCATTTTCCTTAATTTTCCTTCAGAGTGTGAAGTTTTAACTTTCCCTGGAATCCTCAATTTCCTTTTCAGAGCAGATACAGAGAAAAATCCAAAGCACAGACAGAGTTCCATAAGAACAGGACGCAGGCAGAGGCATTCTCTTGTACCAGTATGTCCACTGGCGCCTCTGCAGAGACATGCTCCTTTGCCTCAGGCTGAAACACGCATCAGCCCTGAATGACCCTTCCTGGGTCCAGAGTGGCAAAGGTATGCTACCCAACCGGTTATAGGCAACCTTTCCTAAGTCTTACCGGTGGCCTTAAACAGGTCTACAGGTACAGAGGATTTCTGGTCAGAAACAAAACCAATGGCAGAGACTTGCTCCTTTCCCATAAAACCAGAAAAAGAGTAGTTGAGGTTTCCTTTCCTCCAGGTTTAAAACTTTCACAACCTTTCTTACATAGTTTTACCCATCCAGATTTGACCATAATTCACTTTTAATCCTTGTTCCTTTCCCACGGTGGGAAGGACTATACTTAAACTCAGTATCTGGCAGCTGTAAGTCCCTAGCACTATAGGCACCTTCCACTGAAAGTCCCCAGGTTCATAGGGACATCCTGTAGCTTCCTGAAGCTTAGACCTTGCAAATACCCTATAAATCAGATGGTCACCCTTGGACCCCAGTTCATGTCCTTCAGAACCACAGCCCTCCCTATCAGAACCATTTGCACAGAGAACCTGACTGGTGCAGTGCCCACACAGCAGAAACACAGCCTATTATCTGAAGAGAACACAGCCCACAACCTTGCCCAGTTCCAAGATGGTGGAACTCTCATGTGACCCATCATCCAACATGGCAGCGCCCATGAATGTTGGGTCATCAGAGATGGCGACACACATGCATCACCCATCCTCCACGGTGGGGGACTCACGTGGCTCATCCTCCAGTTTACCCAAAATGGTGGTGCATCCACATGGCTTGCTGTCCAATCCCCAACATATATGCAGGGTTGGCTCGCAGAGCCTAGGAGTTTCCTTCCTCCCTAAACCTGAGTGTGCAGGTTCCCTTAGTGCCACCTGGGCTCACCAAAACTGTAAGTGAGCAGACAGGGGCAACCTGGAAGCAGCATGCTAACCAAACCATTATCCCCAATTCCATTATTCCAAAACATTCAGAAACAAGTTTTCAGCCAAGCTGTTTCACTTCTTTGCTCCCTTCTCTGTTTTGTTTCCTTTTCACCTTTCTGGGCATGATTAGGTGGCCAATGTATTAAATAACAGACTGTTGGGGTGAATGATATATTATTACCAGAAGGACTTTCCCTTTTTCCTCTGGGGGGTTCCCCCCCGTACTAGGTTTGCTTTGCCCCCCCCACCAGAGAAAAGACATTTCTCAATGCCAGAGGCTGGTGTAAAGGAAAGGAATGATCTATTTAACAGTTATACAGACTTAGAATAATGACTTAATGTCTTCATTAAAATACTAAACTTCTTTAGAATACCCACAGACACACACACTCCTTCCTTCTCCCCTTTGCCCAGTCTGGGTACTGTATGTCTGGAAAAGAAGTAGAAGTCAGTGATTCAGGATCCTGGCACCATCATCTGGGTCTCTTTCATGATCTCCAGTTAATCCAAAGTCATGTGGCACCTTCTCATGGCCCACCAGCAAGAGTCCTTTCACCCCTTTTCTTCCCAGCAAGGTCTCTCCTGCTGCCTAAGCCACGTGGCAAAAGGGAGCACCCCAGAGCCGAGTGACCCGAACTCCCCCAAAGCTGCATGGTTCTAACCTGGTATGGCTGCCTCACCTGGGTTTAAATCCCTGAGCCAGTCCTCCTTTGCAGCCCCATTTTCAACTTCTCCCACAATCAGTTACACCTGGCAGGATTTCTGTATCCTTCCAGCTTTACTGGGCTGCCATAGTGAGTCTGGGCAGCCGTGGCCCCATGGCGTGGAGCCTATCATCTCCAAGCTCTCACGCAGGCGCTGTAACCAGGGGGAGTTGCCTCCCAGTTGCATTCTGGGTGGAAATCATTCCCATCCCCCTGGCTCAAAGCAGGGCCACAGCTATTTAACATATCTATGCAACCATTTAAAGGTTATAGATAGGTTAAATGACTGTTGTAGAGGTTATCAGCAAAACTGTTGTTATTCAGAACAACTCTCAGTAGCCCTGCACCATGCGTCTTATCCCCCAGTT